CAAAGTATAGTTCAGAGCTCAGATTTCTTGGGCTCACATGTTAGAGAACTCAACATTTGTTCCAGATGGTCCATCTGCTTTTGATTACTATTTTCTGGTAAATAAAATGAAGAGGGTACATAGATACACTGCCACGTTGGAAAAAGATGAAATAATGTCAAGAGGTTTATAAAATAAATTAATGAAAGTAGCCAGAGAGTGAGAACAACTATTAGAAGAAAAGTATGTCTGCTTTCAGAACAGTTCTTTAATATCCCTTTTTATCTGGTGATGTTTGTGCTTGTATTTAGAGCCATGAGAAAAACGCAAAAACACACTGCTCATGTTAGTCGGTAAGAAGTGCCACTGCACATCCAGTGCAATTGTTTGCAAATATGGACTGAAGTGAAAATGATTTTCCATTTATTAAGAATGTGCTTTAGCTGAAGAAATAGAAAACTACCCCATAGCAAAGAGACATCTGGAAGTCAGAGGACACCTTACCTGTGAGGGTTTCAAGGTGGGGAACCCATTAGGATAGGATGATGTCACTTCTTACTAAGTGTCTGCCAAATTGTAGTGCAAGTATTAGTGGAAACATTTTTGGTTTAGGAAGGATTTAGTTAATTTTGTGATTATCGTTACATTTTTTTTCTTCATGTTTTTGTTCTTTGGGTCTTAGCCAGAACCTGAAAAGGAAATACCTCTGTACCCTGAGAGAAACTATTTGTGAAGAATTTCTGGCTTGACCTTAAACAGGAATTGTCTGAAATTACAGGAAAGACTTTTTACAAGATTTCCCTTCTAGCTTTGCAAATGCAAGCCATTCAGAGGTTTTGGGTGCTTATCAGCAGCTCTGGGAAGCATTTAAGATTTGTCCAGTTTATAGCTAATAGAAAGAGGTCCTTGCAAACAGCAAAGAAATGTGCCATTTTCTCAAAGTTATTAGTTTCCTGACTGTACTGAGCAGTATAGAGAACAATATAGAGACAGCAGTAAAACCAACACAGAGGAACAATATTTTAATTTTCAACCTTGAGGTAGCATGACCAGTCAGAGCTACTGTAGCTCTTTTTCCCTGGTGTGGAAAAAGACTAAAGAAGATAAATACATGTGTGTTTTATTCTGTTAATATCAGTTCTTTAATTTATAGTCCCAAGTGGACCTCTCCTACGGTGCATGCAGAAGGTATTAGCTTTCCAAAGACTACCAACGTTAAAAACTCAGTGTTACATGAAGGTTTATTTAGCAAAGCTTTCTGAAAAAAGAAGCAGGTAGACATTTCAGTGAAGCACAGGTTTCTAAAGCCGTGGTTGTAACTGTCCTCACACCGAGCAAATAAGAAAAACCGTAAGAGGTTTGTGGAATGATTTTATGATTCTATGAATTGTAAATGTGATTGAAAGAATTACAGTGTAAGTGACAATCCATAAGTGTGGACTGTAGGAGAGCTATGGAATGCTGCAGTCTAGCTCCATGTGTTACTCCATGCCTGCTAGGGAGTTTCTGAAGCACTAGTGTGCCCATATGTCTGGGGCCTCCTGTTCAGTTTGCCCATGGCATTGCTCTTTAGTACTGAACATTTACATTAGATAGTTCTGAGAGGGGCTCTGAACCTGATAAGAAGACAATTACTGGATGAAGACTCTGGTCACTTCATCTGAACACCACAGTGAAGCACCAAGTGAGGTGTACCAGTAAAAATGACTTTCCCTGTTCATTTCTGCAAATGAAGACTTGTACTTGCTTGGAGAAACTTCCAACTACTTTTCTATACACTCCTTCAAGAAGTAGAGAGAACAGTCTCCCTCTTCCAAGTTCAACTTTTTGGGGAATGCTTTTATTTCACTTAATTCCAGGAGACAGAAATGAGTTGTTTGTGATCGGAGCTCTTATTTATTAATATAGATATATTATTAATGTGTATCAGGATGACTATCTCTTTTTGGTATTTTATTTTTGTTACTGAGTGAAGAGAACTTATATGTGTGTTTTTATGTTACACTGGAGGATTGTTTATTTGAATCTCAATGTTATTGGAAAATTCAGATACAGTTTAAGGTATAAAAGCCAAACTAAATAAATATTAAACTATTTTTCATCAGTTTGCCAACTTTCTGATTGTGACTATCTGAAGTTCCTCTTCAGCTCCATCTGTGGGTCCTTTTCTGTCTTCAGTTTGTTATCATTGCTATGTGACTTTAATAGTCACTATTCTTACCCACTCTGTTAGGTTCAGAGTATGACCATAGGAAAGGCTTTTGCTCTGGAGAGCTTTTAATGCAATTGCCTAACTTTACAAGGAATTTAGTATCATTTAATCACAGACTAAGGTAATGATAAACATGACTTTACTTAATTTAACATGAGAACTAAGTTTTTAATTTTTAATTCGACACAGGAAAGCAATTTATTTTTTTTTTTTTTCCCAGAACGTTAGACCAGCTGAATCTGATACCTTATTTTACCAAGGTGTTATATTTCAAATACAAAACTTGGCCTAAAATGGAGGCAATGTTGACTTTTAAAGAAGGTAGCTGCTGGTCTAAAGGTTTAGACTCTCCACAGACACTTGTGTCAGAACACCAAGGAAGTTATTTTCCATCTTTGTAACCTTGACTAAGCTCTGACAATTTCCCCATTTCTTGAGAGCTCAAACCCTCCTGAAACCGTTCATCTTTCCCTTGTCCCATTGTCCACTTCACATAAGCTTTTGTGGTAGGTGCATCCCAGGATCTAGGCTTAGAGACATTTAGAGTTTTTTTTTTCCTCAAGACCTTTCTTTGTACTGTTCGGATCTGTTCTGTTAGAAAGTAGAAAGTGGTTTAATCCAATACAGATTAGATAGGCAGAATTTCAAATGCAATGTGATCAAAGTGCAATGAATAATAAATGCTAGCCCCCTCCCCCCAAAATATAATAATAATAATAATAATAATAATAATAATAATAATAATAATAATAATAATAATAATAATAATGTTCTACATAATTTAACTTCTCAAGCAGTAATAAACTAGACCAAATTTTGAGCAGATTTATTTTGAAATAAATAAGATCTCAGCACCCATACCTGAAAACAGAGTATGGGCAAATGCTAATACTCTGTGGCTGTCTCATTGGCAAATTAATATTCCTAACAGTGAAGGAATGTCAGACATAGATTTACCAGAGGACAACAAGGACTTTCCTTTTCACTCATTCCTGTTAGTCATTGTGGTGAGCTGGTGATTGACAGGAGGAGAGAGCTCAGCATCCTCACCGTGTTCAGATGTGCACAGCATTTCAGTCAATCTTAAAGAAACACTCCATATAAAACAACCATTTTATATATATATATATATACATATATATATATATATATACTAACCTTATGTTAATCTTGTAAATATATACATGTATATATGTGTTCCTAAAAGAGGCCAGCTTCAAGACAGTTTCTTTAAATATTGACCTATATCATATTGGGAGAGATTCTTCAGCAAAAGGCAGTTGACAGCTCAACCACTAGCGTGCTTGTCTTAAATTTATTTCTTGCTTCATTAATTAAGCATTCTGTCTCCTACCCAGTGGAGAGATATATTTTTAAACACACATTCAGAGCCAAATGTAGAACTTATATACAATAAGTGATTGAATACGTGTATATTAATTCACTAGTTATTTTATCATATTTTGTATTTTAAAACAAAATCTATGAATAGTGAAAATGAATTCAGACAATTAATATATATATATTTCCATGAAAATATTTAATCTCTTAATTGTTTCAGATGACTTTGAGTCTTCCACTGGTTCTGAATTTTGCTTCAGGAAACTATGTGTTATATAATTCTTACAGTTATGGTACCTTAGTAGAGCCATACTACTATTGTAGTAGAACCATACCACTATTTGTACAAATTTGAATAAATTATGCTCCAGAATTTATTTTGCACCTAGCAACACAACTACATAGGAAATAAATATTTAAATCTATGTAGTTTTAAAATATTTAATATGTTGCGTGGCAGACTGGTCATCTGCAAGTGATGATTTATGCAGCTAATTGAACTGCGTGATCTCTGAATAAAGCCTGAAGAAATGCAACATGTTTTCCAGCCCATAACAAACAATGCATTATATAAATCTCAGTCTTTTGTCATGCAAATATGGAACAAACACCAATGTTCACAACTGCAATACTGAGAATCATTTTGTCCTCTTAATTCTTAAAGGTGTATTTCAGTGTTTATTTTTTACTTTTTTTTTTTTTTTTTTGAATTTATAACCCTTCTTACAGAAGAGATGATAAAATACAGAGAGAGGATAGAGATGAGGATTTATTTTTATTTTTTTTTTCCATGGCGTTTATTAGAAATTTTTCTTTGTGTGTCTGGTTAAAGAACACTTTAGATGAGTAGGACTTTGGGACAGATCTTTCTCATGAAGACCAAAGCCACCTCATACATACCTGTGAGAACAGGGTGTGTGCATTCTTGAACAGAAGTGTTGAGTCTGGTTGAGAAAGAATTGACTAGGCATCCAAATGAACAATTCTCCAAATGGGAATCTGAAGAGTATGAATGTAAGATGAGAGGGCATTCTTCAGTGAGGAGCAGAGCTCTTGGAAAAGGGCAAGAAGGAAAGACAGAAGTGAGGAATGCTGCTGCAGATGGATAAGAATTCACCAGTATGAAAAGAAGAACACAGTGATGTAGATGAGGATCATATAATCCTTTCTATGGATGGCCTGGAATTGGCGTAGGGGATATGAATGATTGAAAAATGACTTTTCCTAAAGTATGCTGCTATAGACAAATGTCACTGACTTGATGACTGAGTGTTAAAGCTCACTGGCAAAGACTCGGGAAGGGAAGGCAAGCTCTCCTCTTGGATCCAGATCCTTCCAGCTCCTTCCATTTCATTCTGGAGTAGAAAATTGCTCCAGGTTGTAATACCACACACTGCTGACTGACAAATAGCTGCTCCAGAGCTGCAAGCCAGGAGCAGGATACATGTAAAGAAGTGGTCATCACTTACTTGGCTTGCAGTCCCTGCAGAGGTTTCCTCTCAAAGTCATTGATGATAGGCTGGCTGGTTGTAAAAATCTAGCAGTACAGTTCTGGCATGCATTCGAGCAGTTTTATGTTCACTATCTCTGTTTTGGAAAGAACATTTGTCAGGCATTCCTCTGTTTCTCCGTTGATTACCAAAGAAATCAATATGTTCAATTATTGCTCTTCCCATCTGGACTTTTCGCTGTCAGGGCACCAGCCTCTATCTGAATATTTCCCACTTATTATAGCTTCTGAATGATATCTGTGAATTAATATCATATTTAAGAATGATATAAATGTTTATATATTGTATATTACCTAACAGCGCTTTTTAACCTCTGTCATTGACAATGGTAGATATTACTGTTGGTGCCAACAGGTGCCAGCCTTCTGGACTTGTGCTGGTAGTGTATGTTCCACTTTGGGGTAGTGTGTGCTCCTCAGATTAAGAACTATTGTTATTATCTTATGCAGTATATCTAGTATTTTATTCTGTCATGCTGTAATTAAAAATACTTCTTCAGTTATATTTGAAAATATAAAAACTGCAGAACCACCCTGGTTTAATTAAATGTTTTAAAGAAAAAAATTATATATTAATTATATATATATTACTATTACCCACATGATCAAACACAGATCCTTGTCCATAAACCCCAAGTAAAAATGGATAATTTTACTTTCCTCTAATTCTCCTTCAAGGATTTCACGGTCTCATCCCACTTGCTGTAAAATTATCCACTATTTCCATTAAAATAATATTTTTTCCCCTATTGGCTGATGTTCTGTTATGAAATTTAACCCACCTGAGTTAGCAGGGAGAACATCTCAGTTTTCCAGACCCAAAGTATGTAGTTTTGTGCCAGAGTCAACAGGAAAAGAAGACTTACAGCATCCAACTGACTTAGTTTCATATTTCCCTGATGCCCAAACAACTGGAAAGCAGCAGGACCAGAACATTTCATAAATTTCTTCCTAGGTGGTACAGACACTAAAACAGGATGTTTGGATCTTTGGCCAGTCCCTGCAGGAATATTACAATACAGGAATACTTTGTGAGCTCTACATGCACATTTGAGGGACATTAAAAAACTTAACTGGACAATGCATTAGCAAGTATACTTTAGGGAACCATCCAGATCTGCCATATAGTTGAACTGCATGAAGTATAAGGCATTTACACTTTCTTATTACATTGCTAGATGTATTGTGTGGTTGAGCAGCCACACAGGCAGTGAATCTGCCCCCTCCACCAGCTTTTACATTCACCTTAGGTTATGAAACAGGTAACCTTAATCTCCTCTGTTCCTCTCAATGTAAGAATAATAATTGTTATAACAATAAATAAAACCAACAAAAATTTCTTAGCAAAACAGGAGACAGTTTAGTAGAGAGAAAAAAACACCAGTGGTTCTAATGTGCAGATGTTACACTGTACATTCATGTCAGTGATTTGAGTTCCATTTCTGGAGGAAGTTAGAAGAAAATTACCTCAGCTTCTTCATCTATGTCATACACATGTGATTAAAAGAATTTTCATTGATATTTCTTTTTGTAATTAGAATCTAAACAATCCTTGGTGGCCTACTTCTGTTTTATACACTAAATAGAACTTTCTTTAGTTATTATTAAACTTTATGCTACTCTAGAGGTCTCTTTCTGACATAATGCAGACACTAGGTAAAAAAACTAGGTAAAAAATCTATGCAGAAACTAGGTAAAATCCTATCCTAAAAACCTTATGGCCCAAACAATCAAGATTGAAAACAGAGGCAGTGACATATCCAAAGTCACGCAACAAGCACTGGATACAAAAAAAAAAAAAAAGAAATTCAGTCCTCTTGACTCTTGCTCTCCCTCTGTTTGCTGATTCACACACTTGGAAGTTCTTTGTGGAATCTGATTTCTTTTTGTATAAAAAGAGATTTGACATCAACATTTCTTTCTACTGTTCATTCAAATGAGTCAAGGTGGTACACTCTTCACTTGGTAAAGCTGTTTATTTTTGAGTACCTTTTCACATTAAAAACAATAATAATAAGAAAAAAATATATAAAAAAAAAGTTAAATTCATCTGGCATCAAAACTGTATTTATTCTATTTATAAATTTGCATGGATTAGAACAAAAAATATGTGTAAGGAAGTCTAAATTCCCACCTTTTGAGACATTATTCTGGCCAGCCCAGCTAGTGTCAGTAGACATGGAATCTGCCTATTATGAATTTTGGGCTCACTGGAAAGGTTGCTCTTAAGATCAGACTGTTTTAAATTTGTGGGGGAGGAAAAAAAAAAAAAAAAAAAAGAAAGAAAAAGGTTGCCATAAAATCATGAAATTCCCAGCTGATTGAATACAGATTGAATACAAGGGATTTTCTATATATTAACATTCTGAACATTTATGACTGGTAGATCTGACTGCAGACCAAGAACTATCATCACAGAGCATTTCTCTCTTATCTTTTAGAATTGATGTAAAAGGTGGGACTAACAGAAATAGCAGCTTGATGAAGAACAAGATCCTACTTTTTTTTTTTTTAAATGGAAGTAAAAATTTTATTCGAAAAAAATATATTTTTTTAATAAAAAGACAAAATCTTCTATTTTTTGAAAAGAAAAACAACTAAAAATAAAACAAAAAAATCTCACTAAGATTTAGGAATTTATTTATTTATTTTTAAATTAAGTAAATAAATGTCATAACAAAGCATATTAACATTCTCCTTATTTAAGTTTATTTGTGGGGAAATAATATATATCAGATGGCACATTTCTAAGAAAAATACAAAGATTAATATAGTCAGGTACATAAGCCCTTCTTTTATACAGAAATCTTGAACAATTTAAGATTATAAAATATAACCGAGCCTGACTGAATTTAAGAAGAGATTGGACTGTGCACTTAGTCACATGGTCTGAACTTGGGTAGACCTGTGCGGTGTCAAGAGTTGGACTTGATGATCCTTAAGGGTCCCTTCCAACTCAGGATATTCTATGATTCTATGATATTTATTACAGTTCTCATGCATTGTCAATCACATTGTATCTGTGTAGAATTATTAACATATTTTGCATGCAGGCTGCTTCAAAACATCATAGCACATAGTCTAGTTGTGGATTTTACTGCCCAACAGAAGTTTATTATGTAAGAACATTAGAAAATTGCCCATGATTACTTTGATCTCCTAACTTTCACAATCTCCTTTCACCATCTGTTAGTCTGCAGTCAAAGTTAGTCATGTAAACTGTCTTCCCGGTCAAATTTGACTTCTCCAGGGATGTATTGCCTGAGATCTGCACAGGCTACACAGAAGATAAAATCACAACTGTAGTCTATATGGCAACTGGTACCTTAGATGTGATATATTATTCCATGCAATAGGATAATATCTCAGCAACAATTAAAACAAAATAATAATTGCAGTTCATAAGAGCATAATAAATTATGATAATTATTCATAAACTACGTTTAATTCTACCATGACTGCTTTAGTTTTGCTGTGGTGTGTATTCTTCCCTGTGCATTAAAACTTCATAATAACACAGCTTTTACTTTGATCATTTATATATGCTGAAGAATTCATCAAGAACAGTTTAAGCTTCCTTCAAAAGGAAGGAATCCTGCTGAATCGGGATGCTTATTCATATTTGCAAAAGAAAATGGTATGTTCATAATAGTTTACTCCTCCTGCTTTTCCTCAGTCTCTGCTTAATGTCTGAATATTCTAGTGAATGAATTTATTGGTTATAGTTTTTGCAGGAACGTTGAGTATCAGGAGATATTAATGGAAAACTAATTTTGTTTTTATTAAAGCTCCTCTGTAGAGGGAAATCATGGTTCTAAAAGCTGTGGTCAAAAGATGAGGAGCCAAAATAATGCTGTATGAGCATTATTCTGTCTCTGGTCAGAAATATCTAGGGTAGCTTAAATTTCGTATATTTGGAAAGATCTGCTGGAGTACAATTGACAAACCACAGGGTATTTGCACAAAATAGGCAGCAATTTTGAATGACTAATGTGTATGAGAAAATTGCAAACTGCTTATAAAAAATTCTTAGACAGGAATAAGCAGAACATTTGTTGAATGACTTATTCATTCATGTAGTTTATTCATCCCCACTATTTCATATTTGAAGGGCAAGTGAGGACTTAAAATATTCCTTCTGAATTAAATACCACCCATATTTTGCAGGACCACAATAAATTTGAAAGCCTTCAGTGGCTTCAACCAAAGCTAAATGACAATCTCCTGTTTATATGAGAAAAAAACAGGTGAAACCTTGGTTCCAAGAGCATGTGGAATAAAGTAAATTATATATAAGTGAGTGATGCTTGAATGCTAGGGTTTCAGTTTACAATAGTGTACTGAAGATTTATGAAGAGCTTTGCAAGATGGGAAGTGACTGTGTTGTTCTGATGTTGAGAACAAACTAATAAGTTAATACTGCATTCCACAGGTGCTCAAAAATCATGAGCTTAATCCCCAGGAATCTTTTGATTGCTTTAAATGTCACGTAATATTTCAGACTGATAACAAGTTTCACTGTATTTGTAATAAAATCTCAGAAGCTGGCAATACCAAGTGTAAATTGTTCCTGGGTTTTCTCTCCGTACAAAACAAACAAACAAACAAACAAAAACAAAAACAAAACAAACAAACAAACAAAAAAACATAAAACAACAACAAAACCCCTTTTGCTCTCTTTTATATTTTTTTAACTGGAAATTGCTCCATATGGACAAGTCATTTTGCAGTGGTTATTACAGTCTAGTAACATTAACAGTTTTGCAGTGAATTACCACTGTTAATTTTTGAGAAATGTCTCTAATCATTATTTTTCCCTTTTGTATAATGGTAATGACTGTCTCTGTAAGCATTTTGATGCCAAGATTTATTTCATTTCAGATCAGTTCAAACACCTGAAAGTTTTTGGTTTGTCTTGATTACTTTCCTGAACTCAAAGTTGTTTTGGAAACAATTCTGGGCCATGTTTTATATGGATCCTTCTTTGTTTCTCCTCCATGATTTCCTAGACAAAATGCTACTGATGGCAACAATGGGAAAACTCTAATACTGACACTCTCGGACAGTCAGCCATAGGGACTATTAGGAGACAATGCGATCAGGAATGAACACATATTGATCAGTAATGCTGTTCCTTCATCAGCAGTTACAACCATTTGAAGCTACTATAACAGACCAGCTTCAAGCAGTGTGGTGGCTCTCAAATCATGACAATACTATTGTGATCACACTAAAGAGCTTCTCATATATGATTTTCCTTTTAAACCTGGAAAGTTAGCTCCCACTCCCACTAGAACATGCCAGCTCCAGAAGTAGACAGTAAAAATGAGTTAGTTCAAGACCACCATAAATTTATTTCACACAATACAATGCAAAACACAGGGTAAATTTTCTTATTTTCTTAAAAGTGAAAGTTCTTACCCAGAAAATATAATCTTTGTTCATGTGTTGCAGAGATAAATAGATTTTTTTGATAAGTACAAATGAAAAAAAAGAAAAAAAAAAGAAAAAAAGAAAGCTGATTGCTGTCAGAGTTGTGCAAGGCAACATTTTGATTCACTGACCAAAATGATTTCAAGAAATAAATACTTTTGGGGTAAGTCTGAACTGAAAACATTTTCAGTATCATTGATGAGATGCAAAATTCAGAAAAACTCACTTCAAACATTTCAAAATGAGAAATGCTGTTTCATATTATTTTTAATGGATTTATAATAAAACCTAATTAAATGTTGAAAGAAAAAAAAAAGTAAGGAATTGTTTTACCTTATAAAATGCATTAAGAATTGATGGTCAAATATTTTGGATATAATTTTAACAGCAAGAAATTTCTGTCATAAAATTTGTTGGTAAAATATGAAGGCTTTTAGTCTTTTACTGTGATTAGTGATTAATTTTCTGTGAAGTCCTCTGTAGACAAATGAGGCAATTCGTACTTCAGTGTACTGACATGTACTGAATTGGCGTACTGGAATCCACGCCATGCTACATCTATCCCTGGTCTGGGATGAGACCTTGTCTCTCTTAAAGTCACTGAAAATATCAGCATTGTCTTCAGTAATGATATATTATTTTATTTTAGTCTAGGATGTGTCTAAATGCATTGATCTTGATGTCCTATTCTGGGTCACTTAAATTGGTGAATGGCTAGAAATTAAAAGAACAATACTTTGTAAATATTCCACATTTTAAGAATCAGAACTCCTAAAAAATTGAAAATACAAAGCATCCTTACACTTTTATCATATTTATTGCTATGCTATGTCTCACCTTTTTAATTCTCAGTGGAATCAGTATGACAGAAGTTCAGTCAATGACAAAAAATATTGTTAAATACAATAAAAATACATTGTCATTATAAAGCTTGTGTCTTGAAAAAGGAATACCGTTTTCAGTACTACAGCAGTTCTTTGGAAGATCACTGAATATGATCAAATGTTGTCTGTGATAAGCAACTTACTGTTTCAAGCAGATATGACAATTGTTCTAAGGCAATACATTACCATGATTAAGTATTCAAGAGTACTTTAGTGAATACTGAGGACAAAATGCATTTAACAACAACAAAAACAACAAATCATCCAAAGATTTGTGGCAGAACTGTGCTATTAATTTTTCTACTGTTACATTTTTGGAGGTAAGGATTCTAGACTTAATATACTATTACTTTAATTGACTATAGCAGTTTCTATGTCTCTTGCAATTGCCAAGCTTCAAATTTTGTTATACTGTATGTGCTGAGGAATTATGACTGATAAAACAAGAGAATAGATCCTTTAGCCATATTTAGTGATGAATTAGACCTAAGATGGATGAAATTGAAGTTTCACTACAATTCTGTTACAGCAACTGTCACAGTTTCTTGCTGGGGTTCTGGTATTAGTCTACTGGGTGCTCAAAAAGCATAGATGTTTTTGATTTATGACCAAAAAAAAAAAATAGCTATAATATCATCTGAAAGCCTGTAGTCAGAAACAATAAGGAAAGTGAGAGAAGATGATTATTGGAAAGGCTACATATAAGTTGCAGCTTTCCCACATGCCTATCAGTATATGAAACGAAGTTTGGATCAGGATTTTGCAGTTTGACAAAAAAGAAAGAGACATACTAGTTTTGTCATCAAAGTCTGGTCTTTCACAGAAGTCGGGAGAAAATATTACTATTTTTTCATATAGAAAAGAGAATTTTAGACTGTCTAAAAGGTTTTGTTTAGAAGACAGAAAATAAGAAAAGATTTTTCTCATGAAAAATCGTTTACTCATTGAATTATACTGTGTTCGCAGAGTAATTGAATCACCATATCACATAAAAGTAAAGGGTATCAGCTTTGTTAAAAGCTTATGCTTCTTGGTTTATTAGCAAATTCAGAACAAAAGGACATGATTAAGTATCCAGGCTAAGGCTTTCTATTTACTAATTTTACAGTATTTATTCTTTACAATCATGAACCAAACTTTTCATCTCCCTGAAGCTTGGTTTAACTAAATTATTGAATAATTATGGTTCAGACACACAGTCTGCAAAGAGAAATTGCTTTAGACCAACTCTTGAGCTTTCATTAGGCCTAATACATATTAATACATCCCTCTAACAAACTCAAACTCTTCCATTCCAGAACTGTCAATCACTTTGATTTTCTGCAAGAGATTCTGCACCAGATTTTATGCTGGTTTGATTAATGATGAACAGTACATTGGTCTGGAAGTTGGCTTGTGCCTATGTAATGTTTGTTTGTTTGGTTGGTTGGTTGTTTTCTTCTCATTTTACTTTTCAGGTGTGTTAGCTATTTAAATTATAAATGTATGTATTTCTGTGTAATGTTATTCTCAACAGACCTTGACAAGAAACTTTAACACTGTCATAGAAAGTGTTAATAGCAATCTGTGACCCATATGTTCTGAAATGAAAGGATAATTTAAAGACAATCTGGAAATGAAGCCAAAATCATATATATTAGGTGAAACTTTTTAATGCTTGTAAGACAGATGATTTTCAGGTATTCTGGGGGGAGGGTTTAAACATACCTCATCAGTGTTTCCAAGCCTTAGAATCATAGAATCACTAAAGCTGGAAAAGTCCTCCAAGATCATGTGATCCAAAGAGCCCTCTACCCCCAACATGACCCACTAAACCATGCCCCTAAGTACCACATATGTTTCATTAAACACCTGTGGTGCTTTTAATCAGGTGGGCAGCCAAGCTCCACCTCAGCCACTCTCTCACTCCCCCTCCTCAAAGGGGAATGGGGAGAAAATACAATGCAAATGGCTCAAGGGTTGAGACAAGGACGGGGGATTGCTCAACAATTATCGTGGCAGGCAAAACAGACTCTTTCAAGGTAATTGCAAGATCTGTTAAACTGCTTTGTGGAATTTTTTCTCACTGACCAAAGAGTGCTTTCCCTGAAAAACTGTGTAGGATTCACATGTATATGTGATGTCTGGCATCTGAATGCACACTTGGGGAACCAAGTGCCAGAGGACAGATGTATTTATGTGAGAAAGTAATAAAATCACTAAAGAACTATCCAAAAAAACACCAGAAACACATTAAGGAGTATATATATGCATTTAAATGAAAATTAATGATAGCACTTTGGTTTAGTATATTTACTGTTAAAAGTACATAAGCGGCTAAATGCATAGTACTACAGACAAATAAAACACTACTGGTGTTAGTGCTCTATAAACTTTAGGAATTTTATATATGTTGTTTATATCCAGGATGTAATGGAAGAATACACCAGAAATATCAATCTCAATCCTCAGTTTCTTCCCTAATGGAAAAGAAAAACATCAAAAACATGAGCACTAACTACCTCTATATGCTGTAACCTGTATTTACTTTCATGCTGTCTCCAGAAATAATTGAGAAAAAATCTGAAGATTCTTCCTTAAGAGATAGGAAGGCAGGTGCTTTCTATTCCCAGCATAAAAAGAAAATTGCACCTATTTGTACTTCTTTAACAATCATTAGCAGACACTAGACAGAATGGAAGCATCAGGTAGGTTAAAACTGCTCCCAACCCAAATACCAATTTCACATTTGGTTCTAAAGGAAAACAGTATTGCATTGCCTCTTTGACTGTGGACTCAGCCATATGGGAAAAACCATCATTATTTCATCTGAAACCAGAGTTTTGCTCCAAAAGCTCAGTGAAAGGAATGTTTTATCCTTTTTTCTGAAGGAATAATGAAGCTTCTGCAGCTGTGCTGTTTGGGCTCAAAGGAAAACCCAGGGGCTGGAATCAGACTCAGATCAGCTGTTTATGCACTTTTAATACTCAAAACTTGAAAAACTGAACAAAAGGATGTATGCATTGGCCTACAGAGTACAACAAATACCTTAGATTTTGGTAGGTTAAAGATCGGTATACTTTGGCAGAATATTGAAAGAAGTCTGAAAGAGCCCTATTTCTCTTGTAGACCTATTTAATCTAAATTGCTTTTATAGGGTGAGGTCAATTACTCTGATATATTTGTGTCTTTTCCAGCATCAGTGCTGGTGTTTGTCAATCCAAGATCCCAGGTGAATGAATAAGACAGAAATGAATCTATGTAAAATTTATTTTCTGCTAAAACAGCTGAGTTAATCAGTGATGGTTTACAGATTTCAAAAGTTGCACAAAGAGTTTTACAACCTGACCTAACGATAGCCTTTGTCCCGGCCTTGATAATGTTTTTCATGAAAAGGATCAGAGAAAGATTATGTCACAGGAATCCTGCTTTCACAGATGTGAGCTATCTAGAAGGGTAGTACAAATGCTCTTTACACTATGAATTTTTGGGGGGAATTAGTCTGTGCATGTCTAAACCCCTTACTATCCGGCTCACATTTCTCCTGCTTACTCCTTGGACAGCTCTGGTGAAGAAAGATGACAAAAGATAGCCCTATCCATTCCTTACATATGTACATTTTTACATAGATTCATAGATTTATAAAGTGCATTAGTGTCAGAGCTATAGATTTTTTTCCAAGTAATACACAAAAGATAATTAAATATAATGGTTGAAATCCCATGAATATTTTGAAAGGCATATTACTTTTATAGTAAAAAATATCTTTAAATTTTTATTTACATCTTTACTAAACATCTAAATATGAAATACGATAATGGTGATAACTATGATGATGGTTAATCCTTACTGAAGGACTGACCTTTGCAACCTAAAGGTTGTCTTTAGGGATCTGTATTTAAACTGACCTAGCTCCCCAGGTGGCCAGGTCAGATTTGCATCTGGACAGGATAACCAAATTATAGCAACCTTCTGAATCAATAGTCCACTTTGAAATTGTTGCACTGTGTGGTAGCTAAAGAGACAGCATTACAACTTAAGAAATACCAGTGGACTCTTCTTTTGGTCAAAGGGCCAAGTAAAACACTAAAATTGAATATCATTTACAAGGAACACATGACTCGTTCCAGATGTTTAAACTCTGGGAGAATCAGTTAAATTGAATTGTCACAGTAAAAGACTAAAGAAAGATAAACTTCAAGGTAGATTGAATCTAAATCATTATTAAGACTTTATAAATCAGGTCAGAACCTTTCATGGACCTCAGATCTTTATAAGAAATCAGCAGAGTTCTTGGCAAATATATTTGCTTTATCTAACACTGCCAAACAAGCTGGTGCTCATTAACTACCCGCACTGGTTAAATAAATATATATATAGAAGGACAAAAAAATACTATAAAAATTATATTAAAAAAAAAAGAGAGAGAGTAAATATATATATATATATTGTCTATACCTATTTGTTTTTTGAATATATTATTTTTAAATATTTATTTATTTATTTTTCCCAAACAGATTCCTGGACATGTAATATTGTTTTTCTTCTGAATTTTTACTGCTTTTTCAGGATTTCAAAAATATTTGATAATTTATTTCAGTTATCTTTAAGGTTTTTTAATCTTTTAAGTATGAAACAAAAAAAGGAGTGGAAGTCTGTTTTCTGCCATTGCAGGTGACAATTATAGTTTAATGCTTAAACAGGGGAGGAAAATCTTGTATAACTAGCAAATGCCTGGCAAGTTAGAGAAGGTAGTGTAAGAAAGGTGTCAGAGGATCTGGGCAAATTTTTAGCCAGATATAATGGAATACAAAGAACTGTACTAACCTTCATACACTGTGCAGCATCAGGATCATGAATGAAAGCATGTGGGTGCTTCACCAGAGTGGATTCTTGAGAAAGGATCAGGACTCTGAGGTCTTGTGCAGACATCAAATTGCTCCAAAGGAGCAGAGATTTCCCCATAGCAGTGAAACCTCATTCTCACACTATTTTAAGTACCCTAAAACCAGTGAATAAATATTAAATTAAAAGAACCATCTGCTTTATTTTTGCACAAGATATATTCCTTTAAAATTTTGTCAGGCAAAGTAGACAAAAAAAAAAAAATGTAAGGGGAATCCCTGAAACCCTGTTTTGGTGACAGAGAGGCTGTGGGAGGAATTTAGGAAAAAAAGTCCAGTTGGTGGTCCATGAAGTTTACATTTGAGGTTACATTTCTTTTGTTGATATCATTCCCTGGCATCATTTTAGAGTCCCTACAGTTCAGCACCCTGTTTACACCCTTGTTCCAATGTGATCCAGGGGCAACCTGGACCATATACCACAAATGTTTCTAAAATCTTTGAAGAGCTTTGAATTATTTTTCACGTATATATTGGATATATTTGCCATAGATTGTATGTAACCCAATGAAACAGAAATCAACAACAATTGAAAAATGCGTGTGCAATGAAAATTTGCCTCTGGAAAAACAGTCCTATAGGAAACAGTGAAGTAACTTGAAACAATGCACACACATAGACACACACACAAATGTACTGCCAGGCTTTGAGGGCTCTACTCTTACTGGTACAAAATACCTCTTTCTGGGTTGCTGATTTTGGCTGACTGAGAAACTGGCAAATAATTAAAGATGTCTACCAATGAAAAGCATTTCTCTGTTTCATCTGCATTTAAGATCCAATAAACTCATACCAATAAACTGAACCTAGATTCAAGCAGAATTAATAATGTCATTTTAGTTTGCTTCTTTCTATAACACTTAAGTACTTGTGTAGACATTAACTTACATTGGTATAGCTTGGTCCATTTGGATACTTTTTGTTTTATTTTAGGTTCTAGCATGTGTTTTTATAGTTTCTCTTTCAAGATAAGACTACTATATTTCAATTTTACTTGAATATGGAACTATGAAGTAAGATTTTTTTTGCTGATCTTTTTCCCCAGTCTTTTGAAAAAAGTCATCATCCCCCTTCTTCCCTCTGCTATTATCACTTACCATATAATTAATTGAGGAAAAAAAAAAAAAAACAGTAAAAAAAGAAGAGGGTGCTTAAATCTGACAGTGGAAAATGATAAAGGGTGAGACACAATACGTGAACTCTTAGAATAGTCTTCTATTGCTTCATTCTCTGACTGTAGCACCAGGTGAAGCAGGGCAGCTGCAAGAGAGATCACTCTCAATCTTTGTGCTTCTTCTTAACTCAGAACTCAAACCATGCCCCTAGTAGATTAAACTAAATAGAAATGTATAAAGAAATCCTGCCATATGAACTGTAAACATGAAAAAAAATAACTTTGCATTCATCTCTGGAAAGGGGTTAAACTGAGTTTGGAGACATGGTGCTAAAACTCCATCAGAAAAAGTGAACATATCTGCAAAACTGATTAAATGAGAAATAATAATGTATTCAGCTTAGATGTTCTTATTAGGCTTTGAAATTAGCATATCCCTAAAACACAGCAGCTCTCACCACTTGTTATTTTTCTTTCCCTTTAACAGACTCAGTAGGACAGCTGAGAATCATTTCTCACTGGGAAGACTTTTCTTTGCAAATAAAATGTTAGAAAGAGATTACACAAAGCATTAGCATTCAGCAAGCTTTGCAACTGTTTTTAGGTGGAAAAGAAATCTCACGGTCCCAAGATGTGATTATTATTATTTTATTATATATATTTTTTTAAGCTTTAAAATATTACCTTTTAGATATGAAAAAGAAAAGTTTAATTGGAGGAAAATTAAAATGCAAAAAGGCAAAGACTGATAAATATTGTTCTGCTACAGAAAGAGGTTCCGTTCAGATTTACCCCAGCAGTTCTACTTACAAAGAAAA